AATAAATGCTTATGAATCAAAAAAAACAAAAATGGATTTGAAAAACAAAGAGAAAATAGCTTAAGTTTATTGAGAGGGAGAAAGGAAAGAGAAAAAAGAAAGGAAGGAAGGAAGGAAAGAAAGAAAAGAAGGAATGAAGAAAGAGAAAGGAGGAAAGAGAGAAAAAGAAAGGAAGGAAGAGAAAGAAGGAAAGAGAAAGGAAGGAAGGAAGTTATGCCATATGAGAACTTGGGATGGCTTGCCTGGAGGAGGGGATACTTGGATAGGGGGAGGGAAAAAGATGAGGACATATTTCAGTCTTTTCAAGTATTTGAAGATCTGGTGTGAAGAAGAGGGGGCCCAAAGGGCAGAAATATGAGCAGTGGGTAGAAGTCCCAAAGAGGCAATTTAGACTTGAATATAAGGCAAGACTAACCCACAATCAATTACTGTTGTTTCCAAGTGCAATGGGCTGTCCTGGGGCTGCAGAAGGTGAGATGAATCATTATAACTGACACTTAGAAGTTTGCAAAGAATTTTCCATACATTGCCTCCTTTGAACCTCAATACAACTCCATGAGGAGGGTAGAATAAGGTATACTGGTACGTTACTGCTAAGTCTTCTTATCCCCATTTTATAGATGAGGAAATTGAGGCGGATAAAAGATAAATGACTTGCCCAGGGTCACACAGATAGTAAATGTCACAAGCAGAATATGAATCAGGACTTCCTCATTCCAAGTAAGTACCCTGCCAACTGTACATATATATGGAGAGATAGATAGATAGATAGACAGACAGACAGACAGACAGATAGATAGATAGATAGAAAATACCGTATAAATGTGCATTTAAAAAAGAACAAGATAAAAAGGAACTTTAGTGGTGGTTCAGGATATATATAAGGGATTCAGTGAGCTGTCTGATTTAATTTATTTTCGTCAATTCAGCCTATGTAAGAGGACGACGGTCCCATAGATGAGTAACTTGCATGGTTCATCATGGGTCCATATAGAATCCCTTTCCCTGAAGATATTAAACAGCAGGAAATATTAACACACCTGGGATTGTTAGATGCATCCTTCCTTGAAAGCAGGGGCATAAACTTAGTGCAAATGCATTTCCACCTTTCAGTCCTGTGAGTCTGTGACTACACCTTAGGGCAGGTGAGATATGTTGTTTTCCATTTTTGAAAATGATGCTTTCTATTTGGAACTATGCCCACAGGGCTGTAAAACTGTGCATACCCTTTTATCCAGCAATACCACTTCTAGGGCTGTATCCCAAAGAGATCATAAAAATGGGAAAAGGACCCACATGTACAAAAATATTTACAAGCAGCTCTCTCTGTGGTGGCCAAGAATTAGAAATTGAGGGGATGCCCATCAACTGGGGAATGGTTGAATGAGTTGTGGTATATGAATGTAATGGAATACTATTTTTCTATAAGAAATGATGAGCAGGCAGATTTCAGAAAAACCTGGAAAGATTTACATGAACTGATGCTGAGTGAAGTGAGCAGACCCAGGAGAACATTGCACACAGTAACAGCAACATTGTGCAATGACCAACTTTGATAGACTTAGCTCTTCTCAGCAATGCAATGATCTAAGACAATTCCGAAAGACTAAAGATGGAATATGCTGTCCGCATCCAGAGAAAGAACTATGGAATCTGAATGCAGATCGAAGCGTACTATTTTCTCTCTCTCTTTTTTTCTTTCTTCTGGTTTTTCCCTTTGGTTCTGATTCTTCTTTACAACACGACTAATGTGGAAATATCTTTAATATGATTGTACATGTATATTCTATATGAGATTACATGCCATCTTGGGGAAGGGAGAGGGAAGGGAAGGGGGAAATTTTAGAACTCAAAATCTTATAAAAGTGAAGGGTGAAAACTAAAAATAAATTAATTTTAAAAAAATAAAATTATGCTTTCTTTTAAACCATTATAATCATTTCCCAAAATGCTGCACCTTCCTCATCAAAGAAAAATCATCAGATTTGCCCATTAAGACTGGAAGTGTATGCCACATTTCACATCTGTAGTCTCCCACCTCTACCAAGAGGAATGTGTGTTGTATCTCTGTTCTCCAAACGAAGGTTGTTCATTGCACTTAACCTCATTTCAGCTGCCTTTCACTGTTGTTTTCATTTGCATTAATGTAAATCATTGTGTAGCTTATTCTTTTGGTCTTGCTTATTTCACTCGTTACCATTTCATACAATTCTCATGTTGCTCTGAATTCCTCATACTTGTTATGAGATGGCACAATCATTTTTCATTTCATTCACATGCCATATTTTTGTCAGCCCTTCTCCAATTGATGGGGACCCACTTTCTTTCTAGTCTGGGGCTACTCTAAAGAGTTCAGTTATGACTAAGTTGATAGATGTGATACTTTTCTTTCCATCTTTGGCCTACTGTGTGGGTGCGCACAGCCACTAGCAGGATCTTCGGGTGAAAGGGTATGAACAGTGTCATGTCTGACCTCTCATAGCTCCCAAACAACGGATCATTTTGTGTCTCTGCCAACAATGTACAGTCAGTCGATTTTTCCAAAACTGCTCCCCCAACCTAAATGTCTTTTGTTCTGAAGAGTGAGAAGCATAGCTAGATTCTGGGATGAATTCCCCACTGTCCTTTTTAGTCTGCTTTCCATCTGAAAGCAAGTTATGTTCTCTCTCATTGATGCTAAACCAAGACATTTGTCAAGCCCAGGACCATAAAGGGATCCGTGGTGTAAATGGAGAGGTCGGGACCAAAGGTGCTAAGAATAGAATGTCCTTGCTGGAAATGAGCTGCAGTGGAGGGACGGGAATAACTAAGGATCACTTCAGATGTTGGCGACTTTTGTTCCTCGTGGTTATTGTTGCATCCACTTCTTTCTCCCTTCATTTTTCACATCCTCTTCGCCAAATAGCATCAATCAGTGTTTCCTCAGCATCCATAAGGAACCAGGGCTATTCTGCCCTCTTCCCAGGTTCTATCCTTCATAAATGATGCAGAATAAACAAGGACAGGCTGGTCATGTTTGGTCTGAATCATGGATGGAAAATTCAGAAGCAATGACTTGGTCAGGGTGAATTAAGGGCAGGAGCAGATAGGAGGCCAGTGTTTGCCCTAACAACACACCGCATTACTGTAAGTGGCATAGGGGCCGGGGCTTCCAAAGAGTCATCCCTGGCCTAGACCAGACAGGGAAGCGGCCCCCTGCAAAGTGCTTTGTTTTCAGCAGGTCTCCAAAAGCACACTGCTTTGGCAAAAAGCTCCATCCACATGCTTCCCAGAAGCTCAGGAGGGATCCTGCCTCTCTCGATGCTGCCAGTACCTTTATAGGGCACTCCCAGACTCCTAGGGAACACTGTGCTGGGGGTGATGCAGTGCATCTTCTTTGACCAAGTGGCTTTTTAGTGCCATGTAGACCTAGGCATTCACAGCAGGCATCCATTGCCTCTGGGAGTAGAGACAGATAATCCATTTGCCAGTCCAAAAGGTAGCAGACTTTGGACCCTGGGAGTGCCACAAGTCATGCATAGGAGCTGATTGCATTAGAAACCTATAAAAAATCACACTATTCCTCTGATAGTTTTCTCCAGGGAGAGCTTTCCTAACCCATAGAAAGCTTTCTGAATGAGCCTGATTTCGTCCATGATGAAAATGGCAGTCCTTACTCAGAGGGAGGAAGAAGCAGGTCCCCAAAGGTGCCTTGCCAAAGGACAGGGTGTGAATGTGAAAATTCCTTGGGGGGCTGGTTATATGGTAGTAAGTGGAGTCAGGGAGAGGATGGTGCAAAAAAAAACCAGGACAGGTAGAACCCCAGTGTGCCAGCAGGTGGTTAATAGGTCAGATTTGGGATACAGGGGTCTGGCCATCCAAGCTACTCTTCAGCCTTCTAGACTCTTCTTGTACCATTGAGCTTTAAGACCATGATCACCACCTTGGGTAAGGCAGAGGGAATAAATAGTTACCACTCTGCCTGTTCATTCTTCCCTCAGTGAGCACACCATCCTTCCCTGATTCCAGCTGCCTGTCATTCAGTTGAGCATTAGGTACCAAAAGCCCAGGCCCACTGCAGCCCATTAGAATGAGCTGCTCCTGGATGTGGGGAGGCTTGTTTCTGCTGTATAGACCATCAGAAGAAAGCAGGGGAAAGGGGAATGAGAGGGAAGTAGTCATACATCCAGAAATCTGAAACAAGACATCAGCGAAGCTTTGGTTTTTCCGAAGAAAGGAAGAAAAGTGGAAATGAGCACAGCAGCATGGCTTAACTGCTCTTCATTATCAATACACAGCTTCCCTCCCCATAGGGAAGTGATTGAAATCTATCCTTTAAACACAACCGAGCAGATACCCCTCTGTGAGGCCCAATGCTGCCACAGAGGTACAGAGTGACAATTAGCATCCGAGAGGTTTCCCTTTCTGCTCCCAGGGTTCTTCAAACATCATCCATGAAGCCCAAGGTGGAGCTGGTATGCTGAGTACTCCACCCCGACCCCCATCACTTTCCTTTCTACATTTCAGTTGTTTGAACTCGGAAAGATCAAAAACCAGTGATGAAGCATGCTACCCACCTCCTGACAGAGAGGGGATGGCATCAACGTGCAGAATGAAGCCCACATTTTCAGGAATAGTTCATGCCGGAATTTTCTCCTTGACTATGCATATTTGTTACGAGAGTTTTAGTTGGGGGGGGGGGGGCGGGGGGTAGGGATAGAATAGCCACACATTAAAAAAAAAGAGGGTCATTGAAACCCTTTTTAAAGGCACAGAAAAAAGTAGAAGAAAAAAACAAAAAGAATCACAGAAGCAAGACAGCTTTGGAAGCTAGGGGTTCAATTTAGTGGATATTTTTAAAGGAAAGCCAACTGTATGTAATAGATACCCACAGTTTCATGTACAGTCCTCTTTTTTCTGTTCTATGTGTATAGAAATGCCCTTTTTATTTGGTGTTTGTTAAGTTCAGAATAAAAATCATTTTCAGAAATTTTAATTGTTCTCTTTTCCTCTCTCCCAAGGTGTTCTCTTTATCTTGGCACTGACAGAAGAGCTGGTATTTGCCACCCAGGAACCGTCTCCCAGGGTGTCACTTCAGAGCCCCCAGATGGACACTACCCCTGTTGTTATGGTGACAGTGCCCCTCAGCTCCACCACTGTGGTGGTGACAGCTCCCCAGACCAACAGTCACCCGCCGACAGATGCTGCCCCGACTACTGTGGCAAAGAAACCCCCCCATTCCAAGAAACACTCCCTAACAAACACCACTCCTGCCACCGTGGTGACAGCAACCCGCCGCCCACCACGGCCACCAGGTTCTTCGAGGAAGTCTGCTCGCCCTTTCCCACCTGCAGCTGGTGGTGGTGCCGGCCGGAAGGAGATTCACCGGGCACGCAACCAGAGTGCCCTGCATCTGGGGCAGACTCGTCCTCTTGGGAAGATCTTTCAGATTTACAAAGGCAATTTCACAGAGCCCACAGAGCCTGGTTCCCAGAGAGAGCCCCATCCCTCCACCCCCAGCTCAAAAAATCCAATTTCTAATCACTCCTCTGATTCTCCACGGCCCCAGGTCATGGCTGCTACCACAGAGCCTGATGGTGGAGTGTGGACACCACCTATGGACAGAATGAAAGGCCTCAGGCAGGCAGAAGAAGAGAGCAGCCCCTCCCAAAGCAGCCACAGAAGGGAGCCCAATGCCCCAGTCATGGCCACCGAGCTCCCCAAGCTCCGCGCTGATCCAGAAACCACAACAGTGCCTTCTCAGCCCCTGCACAGTGACCTGTCACAGGATGTCCCAAGACTCAGTGACTCCTGGCTCACCCTGACCCCAGGAACCAGCGTACCTTTGTTTGCCAGCCCTGGGGTCTCCACAGCCCCAGGGGGCTCTGTCCAGGCTGCCTTTAATGTCAGTGTTTCATCCCCAGTGGTGGGGAGCCCTCAGGGAGCTACTTCTACAACCCAGCAGGCCCTGGCCAGCCCTGATCTGCATCCCAGCAGTGCCCCTTCTACCAGGAGCCCTAAACTGCTGTTCAGTACCCTCGTCTCCAAAAGCCCCACCCTGGTGTCAAGCAGCACCCTTTCTACCAGGAGCCCTGAGCTACTGTCCAGCACCCTCTCCTCCAGGAACCCCAGTCTACTGTCCCATAGCACTGTCTCTGCTCAGAGCCCTACCCTGCTCCCCAGCAGCAGCTTTCCCTCCAAGAGTTCCACCCTGTTCCCCAGCAGCACCCTCCCGCCCAAAAGCATCACTGTGCTCCCCAGTGGCACCCTCCCGCCCAAGAGCCCCACTCTGCTCCCCAGTAGCACCTTCCCCCCCAAGAGCCCCACTCTGCTCCCCAGCAGCACCCTTCCCCCCAAGAGCCCCACCCTGCTCCCCAACAGCACCTTTCCCCTCAAGAGTCCCACTTTTCTCCCCAGCAGCACCC